TAATTCTTATTTCTTGATATCAATAATTCAATTCTTAATATCAATATATGATTTTCTGTTGTAAAGCAATGATAATTCTAGATATCAAGACATAGGACTAAAATGTTAAAACGGCTTGCCATAGACACGCATGATCAGTGGACGTTCACGTCGTTCTCGTCCACTCAATCTAAAAGTCCCTAATATTATCTTTACTCAACAAAACTTAGAATCTAGAACTTAACATTTTGAATAAGACTTTCAGATACTATCTGATGGGTTTCATTCTCCTTTAACACGAACATGATATTTGCTGATTCGTGATACGTACGTCTCTTACTTGAAAATACATATTTATTGAGTATGGCATGATTTGTCTGATCGATAAATCAGTCCAATTCTGTGATACTCTAGATTTATCTATTAGTCTGTCACCCTGGTGATGAGCCTATTGCTGTGTGATGTGAGGGATTAGTTTAAGCACGAATTTGCAGTGGAAGACATGTTGCTGATTCTCAAATATGCATGAACATCGCCCTCATCAAACTCAAGTCAGTGTGTTAACCAGATTGCCTTTTCATCTCTTCTCACAGCAAACATCCAAGTTTGACACGAGGATTGGCCAACGCTTCACAGTTGCATCTATCAGCAAATGTTTTCATTTTATGTCGATTGTCGTCATGGGAACTACAATCAAAGTGGTGAGGAAATCATTAGGAACGTGCCGGATACCATAAGAAGCTTGAAAAGCTTTAGATTTGTAACTTAAAGATAAGGTTGAGTTTTGGTCATGCGATTGCATTGTGAACGAAACGTTGTGGAATCGATCAGAAAATGCGATCACCTAGCAAATAAGTATTGGTGTGTACTGCACTGTACTGTACTGTACGAATATGTGGCATAAAAGTCCGTCCCGCCTTTTTAGATGTTACATGCCATACTAGAATATTAAGGCATTTGAAGAACCATGCTATTCAGGGAACATTTTTTTAAATCTCATGTTCTTCCACACTTGCATAAAACAATGACAAAAAATTGAAAATTATTTTTCACCTCATCCCAGAATTCAACCTTCTCTTTAAAGTAAAGACGAGTCCACATCATGAGTTGCACGACAATAATTATTATGGAAAGAAATCTGGTAATAAAAAAAAAATGATTTTCGTCGCATCCCACTTTCCGTGAAGAATTGAATCAAACGTACGGATCGATATCATCATTTGAACCTGACAATTTTATGATTTCGTTCGTCTATTTTTCGTCTAATATTGACTAATATCTTCACCGAAACCTTTCCATTTTAACAGATCGAATAGCATGTTTCTTCGTCTCATTTCACAGATGTCTTCACCTAAGGATTTTACATTTGCTTGCAAGAAGCAGACTACTTTGTCATGCATTTTGTAAAGGTTAGATTGGTCAGCACTGAAATAGTGACGTCCAAAGACTCAAATAACGCATTTTGCTCGTACTATAATACCGAAGCCAACAAGGTCTTTATACGAGTTGGAGAGCCTTGCGAATTCGTTTCATTTCTTCACGCAATCGTATCAAGTTAGACAATAACATGGCCGCAATAACCAACACCTCGAATTATTCTGCTGGACAGGACGAAAGTTCAACCATCAACAACGTCGATGTAGCCCGACTGTTCTGCTTGCAGTCTTCTTTCGTGTTCGAAGTGGCTCTAAACATTTTCTTCATCGCAGTCCTTGCAAGTGATCGCGACCTTGATTTCATCCAGATCGACAAATATCTCTACAAACTTCTGGCTTATCAAGATATCGTGTTGTCACTGTTATACAACGTCTTAAATTCTTCACTACTTTTGGGCCAGTATTTTCATATCAATGCTGATGCATGCATGACGCTTGCGTCCACGTGTTTCTTTTGTTTTCAAGGGTCTGCCTGGATATTATGTGCAGTTGCTTTAAACAAATCCCTCTTTATCAAGTATCCTTTGAGGTACTACAGCATGGTGACAAAACGTCGAGTGGTGGGGTTCCTCGTTGCAGGCGGGATTCTCTCCCTATGTGTAATTGGTGTTTTACCCTTGGAGGGTTTTCCATTTGCGGACTTAGGTCGTTGTTCTGTATCTGGTCTTTTGCAATCTGTTGACAGAATCACCACATCTGGCTTTTTTCTCTACACCGTTTTGATCTTACTCGATTTCTCTATACCCATCGTCGCAACAGTCCTACTAAACTTTTTACTTATTGCCGTGGCAGTGAAACAGGCTAGGTCAAATCGTCGGGTAGCGGCAATGGTTCTAGCTACTCGACCTGACCAAAGTAAAAAGGAAACTCGAGCCGAACGTGATCGGAACCGTGTAAAACGCAGAGGCCTTCTAAACGTTCTTTACCTTCTAAACACAGCTTCAATTCTACTTATTTCGACGAGCATAATTACTTGTATTTTCTTCTTTCAGCCAGACAAGAAAATGTATTCAGACGATACATCTTTGTTTAGGGGGATCGTCCCCCCTGGAAAATTTGAAAAAGTGCGAAAAGAAAATGTATAACAAACACTGACTGAAGACTGCAACAGTTAGGCTCTGGAGGGCCCAAGAGTGCAGCGTTTAGACAAATAAAAATGCAAATTTCTTCTCGCTCCCTCACATAATATCCTCCAAAATTTTAAAGAATATCTGCATTCCGCTGGGATCACCGTGATAGCCACTTGCGTACTGATCGGGGGGGGGGGCAGTTCCCCCCTCCCCCATACAATTAAAACGTGGTTTATTTCTAATTCGATACCAGTGATTTACAAATGTTGCTGAAATGACATGATTGTCCGTGATATTTTCTCACTTTTTTGTACATTATAGTTTCTTTTGCGTTTGTTGAACAATGACAAAATTCCCAAATTTACAGTCAGACAAAAAGTATGCTTATTTTGCAAAAGTATGTTGAAGAGAAATAGAAAGAAAGAATGAATAGTGACCTGCTGGTGTCACAAAATGAGGTATCAAAATATGCTCATTTGACCTTAAATAAAATTCCTAAAACCCCTGAGCTTGCATGAGCTCTGCCCCCTGGATACTCATCTGACCTTAATATACAAAATGTAATGCCTAAAACCCCTGAGCTTCATGGGTCTCAGCAGTGGCGGATCCAGGGGGTCCCGGGGGCCCGGCCCCTCTCCCCTAAAAAAAAACAGGTAAAAACACTTTAATTTTACTTTAATTTTTTAGATGGATCCCCTCCCCTGGCGCTCAAGGGGGGGGGGGGGGGGTCGATTTTTCAAATTTTGGAGACCCCCCTCCCCCACCCCCCCCCCCCCCCCCCCAAAAAAAGAAATGTTCACTAGTGCTCACTAATTTTTACAAAAGTATGCAGACCAAAATCCCGAGTTGGTCGAGTGTTATTGAGCTACCAGAATACAGCAACATGTTTCCACTGATATCGATAATATATACAACTACAACAGAAAGGGTTCACGAAAAATGTTGGTGTAACAAAAAAGGCGACTGAAAAATACGGCTCGTGTATGAACGTAGAGGGCATCTTCCACTAAAATCGTTTCACCACGTCAAGCTGAGAAAACACAAATTGTAAAAGACAGTGATTTTATTTAAAATGCTTACCTCACGTCCTCACCCCCTTATTAGGGACTTTTAGATTTGCACGTCGACATCTTTGACTGCAACGTGTGACGTCATTGTAAGGCACTGCGCATGCGTTACGTCGTCTCAGTCGGCGATCGAGAATGCGTCAACCTTGATTTTCCTAAATCTAGTACATACACAAACATATTGGTATTTATATATAGCGCCTTTACATGCTCAAGGTACTAGTATGCCGCGTGCGCATAAAATATACAGTTCCTCAAGTAGACAAAGGAACATCCCTTCCCTGCTATTTATGTAAAAATGTGTAGAACAGGTGTCACGTGCATATTCACCTGTTCTACACATTTTTACATATTAGCAGTGAAGGGATGTTCTTTTGTTGAGGGTAGAATGAGGAACTGTATATTTTGTCCTCTTTCTTTGTCCGTGATGTTCATAGTGTTACTTAAGCCTGCATGTATATCGTCGAGTGCAATCTAAAAGATTTCTAATTGTAGTCAACATGGGCGGTTAAGTACGTTGACACGCATGATCAGTCGGCGTTCGTCGTGTTCTTGTCCACTCAATCTAAAAGTCCCTATTTCTTGTCCCCTTGTTCGGATATAGCACTTGTACAAATGACTCCCAAATGTCTACAGGTCTACAAGTGATGCAGGTGCTTCATGAATACCTTTTGTTTGCCCACTTGAAAAGAATTATTCCACCTGTGTATCTAGAATGTACCGCCGGTGCATAAATGAATAATGATTACGTAACTATCATGAACACGTATGCGGCACGTATCCGGCACGTATCCAGCACACGTCTCGAATGGTTTTACAGGGTTATTTTTTGTACAGCTGACCATGCGCAGATAGCATCTCCGAAGTAGCTTCAATCACTAGTTCCTTCAATAGACCATTTTCATAATGTAATCACATTTATGCATATTCCTTTGTGAAGCGCCTCGTTACAAATAATTGTATTTCAATAGTCAGAATGCATGTATTCCGCAAGCCATAATTTTATCCTACCTAAACAATAACTAATGCATGCAATTCACATTCTGACTATTGAAATACGATAATTATTTCCAACAGATGAATGAAACGTTCCCATCAAGACACTGAACAAAGACGTAAAGATTCAATTTGGTAACATTACGAAAGTGGCTTATTAAAAACTTCATGTCAAATTATTACAATTTGTATGCCGGACTGTGCTCCGAATTTAGGTCTCTTTTGAACTGATGTTTTTACTTGAAAATGTTGAAATAAAAAAGCCTTTTTAAAACGGAAATTGTTAATGCATTTTTGTTTCAAAATGTCTAGATATCTTTCTTTTTTTAATAGGGGATACGTACACAAAGACACAACAAATGGGTTTACCTTTTTTCCGCAGGGGTATTGAATATAAAAAAAAGGAAGTTCCAAAACCAGTAGGCAAGAAACAAAATATGACACGAACACGCTTTTTTTTTAATTTGATTTTTTAATTTTTATAGTTTTCTTTCTCATGAAAGAAGTAAATTATGATGTTTTTTAAACGAGTATTCACATAATATCGACATATCAAGAATAAAACAAGTATAGTACGGTCATAGTCATCTACCGTAAACAAGTCAATACGGAACATAAGCTAGTAACAGATCGGCCACAAGTCAAGGCACTATTTTGTCAGGAAATTGCTAAACACTAGACATAATTATGTACATTTCATGTCATGTACATAATCAACATGAATCAACATTATATTATATAACGTGATAATGAAGAAACGCTGGCTATTATTATAATTACTGTTTTACAATCACCGTGCTTCTACACACGGACAAATTGCCTAGCCTATCCACTGTACACGACGTCCCGAAGTATATATTTAAGCCAAATATTGTTAATTTGAAACCTGTCTAGCGGAATACTATACAATGTGCTGTACGCACGAAATACGTAATACCGTTCATACAACTTCAGACAAACTGACTGATACTATACCATGTTTTGCATGTTACATATAATACTTTTCTAACGCTTGCCACGAAAAAATAAAAATTATTATTATATGATATTAGTGAGTTATTATGTATTGAGGTATTGAATATATTTGATAAGCAATTCACAATAATGATGAACAAATGTGAACAATAATTTAACTCTTTATCACAGAGAAGAGAAAGAGGGGAGGGAGTGAAGGGGAGGGAGGGAGGAAGAGAGAGAGAGAGAGAGAGAGAGAGAGAAGAGAGAGAAGGTGGTATCATCACAGGATTTGCCCACTATTAACATGTTTATAGGCAATCACTCAAACAACTCCCTATACACACGATACACATGTATACTTGATATTGACGTCATTGCAACACGTGACACATAAACATGAGAGGTATGTTTGCTTATGAGAGTTCAAGCACGTGTTGTATATAATGGTACAAAAGGTAACCTGAATGTTGCTCGACATAACAGCATTTTATCATGTAACATGTATTCTACCGTATCTCATGACAGATAGAAAGATATACATAATTACTTGTAGTGTAATTATAGGTAACATGGAAGAAGCCTTCACATTTCAAATAATCTGAAAACGCCGGAGGCTAATTTTCGGAAAGGTCAAGTCCGTGACGAACGTAATAAACATTAATTGTATCCTTGTTTTCATCCACACTAGTGAATTGATTTTTTTTATATGAAAATAATGCAACAGTAAAGTGGGTACTTATATTCAGAAATAGAGTAGAGCACAATGACAAAGTCTGGCCTGTGTTCATCTATATTTTCATTGAAAACAATCATGTTGATGTAGGATACTCGTCAACTCCATACAAAATTTCATTCGAAGATCTAGCTTAATTCTACATAAAAATGCATCAGTTGGTTTCTTCAAATCTCTTATATTGAATGAGCCCTTTCCCGTTAATGCGCCTATATGACGTTATCAGCTTTTTAAAAAAAACTTCGAAAATGTATGAAAATACTGAACATTCTGCATAACGACCCGCAGGGAAATAATGGAAGAAATCCTAATATAATTTTCATAATTACAGTAATAATTTGCTCAATTAACGTTTTATTAAAGTAACTTCGAGTTGACACAAGTTTCTATCAGATGAGAGAGAGAGAAAAAACGAAAACAGAGAACGAATGGAAAATTTTGGTTTTTTGATCAAATGGTATGCTCAACGATCACAATTTTGGGGAATTATGATATAAATTGTAATCTGCTAATAGTGGCAAGACATATATGAAAATATCCTAATCACAAGTCTTATTAACATCAATAGGACATTTCTACGATACTGAACGGAATAATAAAAACTAAACCACAATAAATACTACATACATTGACTTTGTATTATCTATAATCTGTTATATTGAGTGGATTTTTCTTTGAGGGAAAGTGCAATATATAATAGTGTGCGCCTAAACAGTGAAAATTTAAATATTATGTCTACAATACTGGAAATGATGATTAAAGTATATATCTCACAGAAGGTTTATACACAAGAAACACTTGATTCACAGTGTTTGTCCAACCACAAATCGAGATTTTAAAAGAGAAGAAAAATCCACCGTGACAGTTACATGACAGGACAAAAAACTATGAACGATGCACAGAACAATGCGCAAAAATGAAATATTCTCGGCCAAAAACTGGATGGGGGGGGGGGGTAGACTTTGCTTTTATTTCTAGTATCACGAAGTCCTTGTTTATACTTCATTTGCTTGACAAAAAAAATTCTTGCTGAACAAAAAAGGAGGGAGGGACTAACATCTTGATTTAAAAATTTGCTATTTTATCATTTTCCTTGTGATGTATAAATCCCGAGGCACAGTAGTGCACAAGCCTAGCATGCAAACTCAAGATATGACTTCTTTAAATAACTCCATCACATTTCTGCCCATGCAGTCGCTAAAGACTTTCAGAAGGGTCCGACCATTACTTTGGCGTTCTGGCATTACATATGCCTACAGCGTCTTAGGAAAATCTGATGAAACGCAACGGCATCGTCTAGGTCGCAATGCGCTTTTTTCACACCTTGTAGAAGAGTTTTCTTGATTCGGCGTCCTTTTGGAGAAACACAAGTAGTCGCAGTGCCGGTGATTATGGCCGACGCTTGATCTGCATGAGAATTTCCTGAGAGCGCTGCTGCTTAACTTAATCACTGCGTCTTAATTACGGTAATCGCAATGAGCACTCAATTTTTGTGCGACCTGTGCTTTACAATGATGAGGTTTCATGGTGACAGCTGAAAACATAAAGACAAAATTTGCAGAGCATCATGTGTAAGGCAAAATTAGTTTAAAAAAAACAATTGCAATCCGTTTTCAAAAGGAGCTAAATTTTAAACTGAGAATTATCTTTCGTAGATCAATATAATAAAGCATAAGCATTGTAAATGATCCACTTTCGGACACTTGCATGCTTGTTTATACATTAGCAATATTCTTTGATTTGTAATTTATTTACAATTTAAATATAATCCCTAAGCATTGGTTTGAATATAGCCGAGGAAGAATATAACTTTCGCTGCTTATATATAATCTACACAATATATATTACATATTGATTACAATAATCAACTGCATGATCATCTCCATTTTAGTCCACATCTGCTTCTAGAACAAAACCATACCGAGACGGACGCAATTTTATTTGTAAGGCCCATCTTTTATAAAAGCATTTGAGATGTCAACGGAATTCTACACACACACATTGTTGTATCTGCCAAAAAATTACAGATAGCATGGGGTTGAATAAAACCCCTTTTTTGTGCTCTTAATTAAATACCACGAAAAAATGTCGATAAAAAGGCATCATGAAAATGAGGCATTATTCAAGACTGCTCTTATTCTTGATTGGCTTGTTTTCGTTTCTTTCTCTCACTATGATACAATATATACAACCAACAGGATAGCATAAATATTGCGACAAACTTTGGCGAGTTGTTCGTGAATAAAGAAAAGACGAAGCGAGAGAGACGGTGGTAGATATGCGAAAGCGCTTCGATCGGGTGAGGTTTCTTTTCTCAGAGCGCTCATTTCGCTCTCCCCGCACAGATGTATTAAAAAACAACACAGTCAAGGAGTCATCTAAACAACGGTCAATCTCTCCTCCAGCCGTTTCGCACTCTTTTCAAGCTCTTCCGTCTGCTGTTTATGCAGTTCCGCTTTCGCCTTCGAGTCCTCCAATGGCTTAATGGACAGACGCCTCAAGTTCTCGGGGATGGCATCTTCGGGCAGGGCGTCGAGTCCTGGTTTGCTCTGCTTCTCTGGTACCCATTTTTTCCACCTCTGGACTAAGGGGATAGCGAGGGTGACGACAGCTGCTAGGATGTAGATACCGCCGCCGATGTAGAAGGCGACATCGAAGGATTGCGTTAAATCGTATGATGCACCTGAGATGTCGAAACAAACAAAAGGGCACTTTCAAAAAAAATGAAGACATACGCAAGTTTTAAGAAGGAAATTGATACGTGAGAATTTATTTAGTTGGTACACCGCGCCCTAAACGACCTGACTGCGATCTGATACTGAAAATTTGCAATAGCATTTGATATGAAAATGCAATTTTCTATAATCTTATTGATCGATGATTTGAATAATCATATGATTAATACAATTCAAATTTAAATTGATTTTAAGCTCGGAAGTGCGATCGTCTACGATTTGAAGCCCATTCCGGTGTTAGTTTTCTTATAATTTTTTAGAACCTACATCAGAAAGATGATGTTTGTTTCGATTTATGTATGTAATTGCAAAAATCCGAAGATCGCAGGAAAATCGTATTGGGTGCGATGGGCTTAACAAATGGGACATTAAGTGACCGAAAAGACCTTGGACTTGCCTTATTATGCTATTCAGGTGTTCGGCGACGTGACTGAAAAAGTACCCTTCGTGAATTTGATTCAGACAAGGACAGTTTACACTAAGTGTCATCAAAGCGAAAACAGATGTTTGTTCGCCACATTTCTGTTTGAACACTACTCAGTTGAGTGTTCTAACTATGGTATCATGATCATAGCTCTTGACCCATATACTGGTAATCTTTGGAACTATATCGTGTTAAATGACAAACCACGTGTTACAATCTATCATCAATTCGGGACGAAACCTGTTCTTCGGATTCCCCGACAGCGTTGAACCATGGACCCACCATTGTCAGTAAATTATTGTAACAATACCGATTGGAAATTGATTACCCGATATTGTTCTTCAAGTGCTGATACGACAGGAGCAAAGGTAGAGGAAAAGTTTATGCACTGCGCCAAAAATAGAATCTTGCTCAGAATTGGGCGATAAAAGAACTATAGTAGGAAATTAATGACGTTGGAAAGAACTGGTATTTCGCAGTTTGGCGGCCTTGATCAGTGGGCAAGTCTAATAAATTCGGTCACTTTTGTGTGTCTCATATAAGGTGTGTTTCAAACGTAGAATTACATCATAGGTGTCATTTCCCTTTGGATTTAATAAGACTGATCTAAGCTCTAACAGAGCTATCATCTTAATGCAATGACCACCTATCTTTTTTCATCTGGCCCATACGTTACGGTAACAAAGTAGCATAGATCTGTCCCATCATATATTTTGTTCAGAAACCATGGGAAATGCGGCATGAGATATTGAAGATCATTATACAAAGAGAGATTGAGGTTCAGCGGCAATTACGTTGTAAAACCTCAACAAAAATGTATGCAAGAAAGTTCAAATCCACAGCCCTCTTTCTCACGAGGTTAAACAATTCTACAGAAGGATATCAAAGTAGGAATTACTGATGTGTTGGAAGATGATACGATAAGCAAAATATAAACATTACAAGGAAATTGAAAGTGTAGATCTGCAGCGAACCACATTTAAATCAGAAACTTTTGTTTAAAAAAAAATGGAATGTCGACACCAAATGCTATAGGGAAATGTCAATTCTTGCTGTGGCATATTTGTCTCGTCACGATAGCCTAGTTTCGACGTCACATTGGCTATGATCCAAACCCAATGCAAACAATAAGGTGGAGGTGTGTCTGATAAGAAGGAGGTGTGTCACATGGTACCAAAGGTCACTTGATACCAAAGGTCACTTGATAACAATGGTGTGACAGATCAATCGTGGCTGATAGCGAGTTTATCACCTCAATGCTAGATATACTTCAAACTTATATTTTCCATTTCCCCCTCTTTTCCTTATATGGATTTTCAAAATGCATCCCTGTGCACTCCATTTTAATGTTTATACATGTTCTTCTATTTCCCAATTTTAAGGAGAACAGTGGAATGTGTTTACACTTCTTCTGTAGGAATAGTGGGTATCCTAAGATCTCATACATAACTTCTCATACTTTGCAGAGTTTGATGTGACGTTGGACCCTTAGTTAGCCAGGCACAACCCTCAGAAAACTCTGGAAACAACCGATGGCAGTTTAAAATAACTCGCAAGTTGCAGTTAAGCGCGTGAGAGTATGAGAACACTTTGAATATGTACATAATGTTTGTGATTGAAGTGGATGATTCCATGCAATGTGTCCCTTACGACATTTGACTTGTATTCATTTTATTTCATCCAGAAATAAAGAGTCTCTTGATATGACCATTGATTCGTGGTTATTCAATGGCCATCTGACGATGATTTCCCTATTAAATGTGGACAAAAGTCGTAACGGACAAATTGCACGGAATCGAACAAGAGTGTTTCCATGGTGTTCAAGGTCTAATTCATCACCAAAGCCAGGTAAAACTACCAGAGGTATTTCCTAAAAGGTGCATGTTCATTACCAGCATTATAACAGAATACAAATCATTAGAACTTTCTTCGTACAGAGTGACGGGTTTACTAACCTGCTATTGAAGGGCCGAATGTAATACCGATGCCAGCGGATAGTAGAGTCCATGTCCATGCCTCTGCTAATAGCTTGTGACCAAAAAGATCCATTGATACTTTGAGCAGCATGCTATTCACAACTCCCGTCAGCGTACCCACAACTGTGAGATACAAGAAGGAATACAAAACAGTTTTAAAAGTGAGGTAAATCATTGCTTTGGGAATTTGGCAGACAATAATTACCGGCAATGGAAAACAGCAGAGCAACGGAGGAAGTTCTTTAATGTTTTAAGATAAAATCTTCAATTGACAATTTTAGATAAAGAAAGGGGGTTAGCAAGAGTGTATTACACGAATCTATAAATTTAATGACAACAATATTTAAAACAAAAATACAACAACCCATGATATTAAACATTCCGAACTTCAACACAGGGCCCAATAATAAACATTTAACAAACTCTAACCCTAAAGCTCATGTATAACGCAATTCCAACCCAGGTCATCCCGATGGTCTGTTTTCTCCAAATACAATTTAACCCGCCGATGAGTTCAAAATTATGTTTAACAAAGAACTTTCGTTCAGGCTTCAATATTGAATTTAAGCTTAAGCTCAGCGTCGTTTAATTTTTAGTAGAATGCAGGCCTAGTATGTGTTTGAAAAAAGCCCAGAGGAACAGTCACTGGAGCAACTTGCATCAGCCTGAACTTACCTATAGCGTAGCCATAAAGTCCAGGTATGGTGTCAATGACTAGAAGACACATCGTCACAGCACCCATGATAAGGTTGCAGATCGGGTATACATACACGGTGTGGAAAGGGATGTAATCTCCGAAGATGGCCGAACCACCACGGCCGATCATATCCGACAACCCGAAGACCATTAAAACATGGACTCCCTTTGCTGATGGGATGCCTATCGTTTCCATGTATTTTATCTGTAGAGAATAAAGAGAATACTTTCAAGGATACGTTCAATTTTCGATTTTTTTTTTTTTTTTTTATTTAAATTTTTTTTATTTTAAATCCATCACTCCAGGGAAAATTACAAACGGATATTTTATTTTTGCAGGTGTTCTGTATCATGTAGATTTCCTATTAGAAACAGTGCATCAATAATATTCTACAAAAAGGAACACACATTCGACTTTTCAATTATGAAGTATACATGATGTTTTAAACCTCGTTTCAATTCAATTATTATAAACAATGCAGTAACACCCTCTGGTTGTGGCTACATCTCAAGTCCTGAAAACCATCCCTTATTCCTGCGTAAAGACACAAATGCCGAACTATGATTTTTAAACACATCATTCAGTATTTCAAAAGAATATATCCCCAATAATGGAGTTCTTAAGCTCTTGACAAGATAACGATAATCATGACAGTCTGTATGCAACCAAATTATTTGGACAGTGTAGAGGTAAAGACATACTTCTCATACTTACAAAATTAACAAATGGAAAGATGAGTGACATGTTCATAAGAATGTTGGCCAAGCCCCATAACAAGATACCAGGCGCCTTCATGGTGTGCAAGAAAGCCTTGATATACTGTTTCGTTGTGTGCTTTGGCGTGTTGTCTGGTACAGGAATCCTTATACTGTCCTTCCTTGACCATGTGCTATCTCTTCTGATAAAACTAACAATGCTGTCCCGTCTGTTCATGGAACTGTTTCTCCTCATCTTGCCTGTGCTGTCTTTCCTGGTGATTGAGCCGTCCCGTCTTCCATTCTGATCATTCTTCCCTGAGTTGCTGCTTCCCTGACGTCCCTTCGACCCACTGCTTCTTGATCCGTTACTTGACAGTTGTGATAAGTTGCTATCGTTTCGCTGGAGCCCTTCTTCCCCATCGTTCGGTAGCTGAGTTGAAGGCGCGAATGTCACGCTCTCCTTTCTCGTTACTGGTGCCGTGCCTGTGTGACAATTTTGGTTGATATTCTCGTTACTGAGTGCGGATTCGTCGATGGTTGACAACTGCGTGCTGAGGAGAACGGGTTCGCCAAGTTGGAAGCTTCCTTTTACTGGGATATACCCATTGGTCTGTGATTTGAATACATTGTCGTCGACCGTGTTGATCTCGTCATCATTGTAGTATTCTTCCTTGTCTTCTGCGTCTTCCTCTTCAGAGATTGCAATTTCAACGTAGTCGACCTTCTTCCTGAAGAGGCAAGCGCAGAGGAGCCCATGAACTAAGAGGCAACAGCCGAGGATGATGAAGGTTTTACGCCAGCCGAATTTCTCGCACAGAAGCTCGACAGCGGGATTCAAAGTAAGTGAACCTGTAACAACACAAAAGTGGGTGGAAAAGTGAGTATTTTCGTTCAAGTTAATGGTATGTGAATTTTTGACGAGTTAGGAACAAGTTTTGACTTCACATTCCCACTAAAATTACAAAATCATTTTTTTCTGTTATTCTCATTAAATTAATCTTACTTTGAAGTATCGTCAGATGTAGAATCTATAGTTTTGCATGATACTTCGTTTCCTGCTTTGCCTGACTGACGTCACGATTTATTTGCAAAGAAATTAATTGTTCATTTCAAGGACATCTAGACATGTTTAATATGATTCAAAATGAAGGCTGTCATACCAATTCAAAAAAGTTACTTCAAACTTTTTGCCAGATCTACACTCGACTAAGTGTCTAGCCGCAAAAGCGGCCGCTATTAATTTAACGAGAGGGAAAGTTTCTAGTTTTGCAGGAATCGACGGAATACATACTTAATTTGATTTAAAGGGATGAGAGGAAAGGGGAATGATTATTTTATACTGACCTATACTCCATCCGAGTGTGGCGAAACAGGAGGCACGGGCGCTGTTCTTCCTTGGGAAGTATGTCCCGACCAAGTTGAGTGATGTGTTGTCAATGAAGTTGCTGCCGACACCAAAGAGGAGACTGTAGGTGACGAAGAGGTAGTATGGGTTAGGTACGGCAGCCGACAGAAGGAGACCTGCGCTGCACAGGATGACGCCAACTACGGCGACTTTACGATGTCCGAAACGCTTGAAGAGACCGGTCGAGATCGGCGATGCTGCGAACATTATCCCGAAGGCCACTGATCCTATCCATCCTGTAATGGGAAAATAAAAAGAAATAAGATATGAGAAACGTGCTATTTGACTTTAAATCATTTATCACAAAGGCGGAACCAGACGGGACCACGAGGGTCTGGCCCTTTTAGTTCCCCCTTTTTATCTTCTTTCTGCTCATCAGAGAATTAATGAGTATTTTGTTTCAAATCATTAAATTTAATTACCATAATTGATGTTTTCTCTTTATTTCTCTTGCCTGCTTGTCGAAAAAATGAAAGTACGATCCCCCTTAAAATCTTAGGTTTGCCTATTCCTCGAGTGTCGCAGATATAATACTTTCTTTCATTGCTACAATACATTTCACAGGGCTGTCATTTCTTGCGCGCATGTTAACGCACTATGGATCACAAGTTTAGAGGTTCGAATCCCCGCCACGGCGTTTATGTTTTTTGACAAGGCATTCAACAACATTAGCCAGTAGCCACACTCGACCCAGACTCAGTAAATGGGTAATCGGTACAAAGAACTTCATCGCATGCTCTAGCGCCTCATCAGGGCAACCAGATGAAATGCAACTATGAATATAACGCAGTACATTATCAACAACATCATCATCATCATCAACATCATCATCATCAACATCATCAGCATTACGATAGATAACTGTTGTATTCAAAATTATTATGTACAGTATCTTTATCATTGCTAGGGTATTATCTGCATGCGAAATGAACATCTTTTTGCAACAGGACAATATTTACCATGCAAGAAAAAGAAAGCGAAAGAGAAAGTCATCGAACTGAGTTTACAGGTAAGATAGGATAGTGGGCGTTGATCAAAAAGATATCCTTTAGGGCGTTTCCTGTATTCTCGTTTCTTATTGTTTTAATTTGTTACACACATTTAATACCAAGTTTTATCTTACCGAGTTTCCTTCCTCTTCAAGCAAACCTCGTTAACCTCATTTCTTTCTTATCTATATTGTGCAATTGTAATGCAATATTCTACTTATATGCGTCATGGTAGTTCTATGGTGGCCCTGAAGGGACATCGCGAATAGACTAAATCGTGAAAAATATGCGATAAAATTCACGATATCGTCAATTTTATCGCATATTTTTCACGAAGAAATTCACGAAATTGACGATATCGTGAACTTTATCGTGAACTTTTCACGATGAAATTGACGATATCGTGAATTTTATCGTGAAAAGTTCACGATATAAAGTTCACGATATCGTCAATTTTATCGTGTACTCTATCGTGTACTCTATCGTGTACTCTCCTGACGGGCGCTTCGTAAACAAAACCAGCCCTAGCTGGGGGAGACAGAGAGAAGGAAAAAAGAGAAAGGGAAAGAGAAGATAAAAGGAAAGAAAGAATAAGAAGAAGAAAAGAGGGAAACGGGGGGGGGCGAAGGGCTCTTGCCTCCTCCTCACTCCCCCCCCCCCCCGCCAAAAAATAAATAAGGAGAGAGAGAAGGGAAAGGGAAAGGAAAAGAAAATATAAAAGGAAAGAAAGAAGAGGAAGAAGGAAAGAGGGAAACGGGGGAAGGGCGAAAGGCTCTTACCTCCCCCCCCCCCCCCCGCCAAAAAAATAAATAAGAGAGAGAGAGAGAGAGAGAGAGAAGGGAAAGGGAAAGAAAGAAGAGGAATAAGAGGGAAACAGGGGAAGGGCGAAGGGCTCTTGCCTCTCCCCCCCCCCCCCGCCAAAAATAAATAAGAGAGAGAAGGGAAAGGGAAAGAAAGAAGAGGAATAAGAAGGAAAGAGGGAAACGGGGGAAGGGCGAAGGGCTCTTGCCTCCTCCCTCCCCACCCCCGCCAAAAAAATAAATAAGAGAGAGAGAGAGAGAGAGAAGGGAAAGGGAAAGAAAGAAGAGGAATAAGAGGGAAACAGGGGAAGGGCGAAGGGCTCTTGCCTCCTCCCCCCCCCCCCGCCAAAAATAAATAAGAGAGAGAAGGGAAAGGGAAAGAAAATATAAAAGGAAAGAAAGAAGAGGAATAAGAAGGAAAGAGGGAAACGGGGGAAGGGCGAAGGGCTCTTTCCTCCTCCCTCCCCACCCCCCGCCAAAAAAAAAAAAAAAAGAGATAGAGAGAGAAGGGAAAGGGAAAGGGAAAGAGAAGATAAAAGGAAAGAAAGAAGAGGAAGAAGAAGAAGAAAAGAGGGAAACGGGGGCGAAGGGCTCTTGCATCCCCCCGCCCAAAAAATAAATAAGAGAGAGTGAGAGAGAAGGGAAAGGGAAAGAGAATAAAAAAGGAAAGGAAGAAGAATAAGAAGAAAAGAGGGGCTCTTGCCTCCTCCCCCCCTCCCGCGCCAACAAATAAATAGGAGAGAGAGAGAGAGATAGAGAGAGAAGGGAAAGGGAAAGGGAAAGAAAATATAAAAGGAAAGAAAGAAGAAGAAGACGGAAAGAGGGAAACGGGGGGAGGGCGAAAGGCTCTTACCTCCCCCTCCCCCCTCCCGCCATAAAGGGAAAGAGAAGGGAGAGGGAAAGAAAATATAAAAGGAAAGAAAAAAGAGGAAAAAGAATAAGAAAAGAGGGAAACAGGGGCGAAGGGCTCTTGCCTCCTTTCTTTTCTTTCTTTTCCTTTCTTTCCTATTCTCCCTCTTTTTCGTTTTTCTCTTTCTTTCTTCTCTTTCCCTTTCCTTCTCTCTCTCTCTCTCTTATTTATTTTTTGGCGGGGGGCGGGGGGACGAGGTAAAAGCCCTTTGCCCCCGTTTCCCTCTTTTCTTCTTCTTCCTCTTCTTTCTTTCCTTTTATCTTCTCCTTCCCTTTCCCTTTCCCTTCTCTCTCTCTCTCTGATTTATTTTTTGGCGGGGGGAGGGGGCCGGGCAAGAGTCCTTCGCCCTTCCCCCGTTTTCCTCTTTTCTTCTTCTTCCTCTTCTTTCTTTCCTTTTATCTTCTCTTTCCCTTTCCCTTTCCCTTCTCTCGCTCTCTCTCTGATTTATTTTTTGGCGGGGAGGGGGGGGGAGTGAGGAGGAGGCAAGAGCCCTTCGCCCCCCCCCCCGTTTCCCTCTTTTCTTCTTATTATTCTTTCTTTCCTTTTATCTTCTCTTTCCCTTTCCCTTTTTTCCTTCTCTCTGTCTCCCCCAGCTAGGGCTGGTTTTGTTTACGAAGCGCCCGTCAGGAGAGTACACGATAGAGTACACGATAGAGTACACGATAGAGTACACGATAAAATTGACGATATCGTGAACTTTATATCGTGAACTTTTCGCGATAAAATTCACGATATCGTCAATTTCATCGTGAAAAGTTCACGATAAAGTTCACGATATCGTCAATTTCGTGAATTTCTTCGTGAAAAATATGCGATAAAATTGACGATATCGTGAATTTTATCGCATATTTTTCACGATTTAGTCTATTCGCGATGTCCCTTCAGGGCCACCATATAGTTCCCATTCAGTATGTATACCTGTCAGTTCTCTCTCTATCTATGCCCCCCCCCCCTTTCCCTCTCTCTCTCTCTACCGCCCTCTCTTACACCATGGACCTGCTCCCTTTCATTCTATCTGTCTCTCTGTCTCTCTCTCTATCAATCTACCCCCTCTTTCTCCCTCCACAATTATCTTCTCCCCTCTCTCTCTCTATCTCTCTCTTTCTTTTCTCCCCATTATTTTCTCTCTTACTGCGTACTCCTCGCCCCCTTACCTATGCCCGATTCCCCTACGTCTTTGTCTTTTTCACAATCTATCTGTTTCTTTCATTCTCTCCCTCTCTTCTCCATCCCTCATTTGTTCATATGTATGCATGTCTCTATAATGTTTTCATCATACTTTTCATGTCTCAATCATACCACATATATAAACACCCCCATCCCCTCCAATCGAGCCCCTGCTCGGTAACGCAATGTAATAAACAGGAAATGTCGTTAGTGGATTGAGTCGTTCTGTCTTGTACATGAACTCGAACATGGGATTTCTATTTTCTATCAGGTTGTTGTTATTTCCTCTTCGTAAATTATGACTGAACGCTGAGGGATCTGAGAGCCCATTCAATGATGATAAGCCACAGCGCAAACATACACACACACAGCTGATCGTAATTCATTACATGCCAAACGAGCACTTACACGGGTTCGTCTCAAAGTCACCTTCAGAACAACTTGGCAGGTTGTACGCTGCTCCATGCAAAATATGCATGAAAGAAATTAAAGTGACAATGGAACGTTCTGAAGAAATTGATACACACACAGATATGAAATACAAACGCTTTCAGTTTTACAGAAAAACAAAACTCTCAAAGTCATTGTCAGAGCAGTCGGCAAGCTGAAATTAGGTTAAGTCCCATACATTCCACGCTCCATGTCGAACAAGAAAAGCAGGGGGTTTTAAAATATGATTGCTATAAATTATTATATGAGCCTACACCTCGTTAATAACATACAGCTGAGCAAAACGATAGCAGACAGTATGCACCAAGGAGTTATATTTATATTTACACCATTGTGTCCTCGATCCCACCTCCCTGATCGGCGTACTTATCATATGCACTTATTTTGTAAGCTAGAGCTACAATTTTATACAGGCTACCTGCATTGAGCCTGAGGGATGTAGGTTTGCAACTGGCTCAGCTCACATCCTGTAGTAATCATTCTAGTTATCATTTTTGTAATGCAGGAAGGAAATCTCTTTTAGAACAATAAGCCTAGAACTTAACACCATAAGGAAACAGGTCTATAGGCATTACAGGTGAGACAATGAGTGTGAAGAAGAAAAAAAAAGAAGTAGGGTCGAGAGTAATTACTAATTAGCACGAAAGACCAATATTAATTTAAACCTTTCATAAATTTAAGAGTCACATTACACTGCAGGAAAGAAAGCGTTTGCACAAAAAAAGGAAATGATCAGACAATTTGGACGCAAAAAGGCTGTTAATAACTACATTATTTTTAAGCTTAACCAATATGTAAACCTTATATTTGGTAAGCGAGAATGATGATCGGAGTTAGCCTTACCTAGATCTAAAATATTTCAAAATACAATTTAGTTCTCCATTATTGCAGGGTTGAATATTTTGTTGGGTGCACTTGCC